TAAATTCAGAAAAAACTAGAAACGATTTTGGGAAAATTATTTACCTTCTCCGGGTATCTGGAGATACTGGAAAAATATATACCCGTATCTCTTACTGTTTCATAATGGTGAAAATATGGCAAATTTGTTTTTCAAATCATTCCAGAATAAACTAGGTACACATCCTTATACATACTATATAAATTAACTATTTTTGCCTATATATTATCTCAGGTATTTTAAGTATTGCAAATGACTAGATCATCACTTAAAAAAGCGTTTCATTACAATATTTGCTTGAAAGTTTCAAAAAAGTAGTCCTAGTAGTTTTCTATATCCATATGAAATTTCAAATCGTCGTTGAAGGCTCTATAAAATAAAATGCAAATAGTAAGTGAAATATCAAAGATAGTTATGTAGATATGATTCGTGGAACATCCACCAAATTTTTTTTGTAGGTGCCCCCCTTTCAGCTTTTATTTGGGTACGCCCTTGACATTGGGCCAGACAGATTGCAAGTCTGCCGTTAGGGTGAGCCCCAGGCAATATATGATATACAAGTATTCAAGGGGATACGAGTAAAATATTATTTGGCATATTGTGAACTTTTAGTACGCATCTTTGATTTACTGAATTTCATACGTGGAACAGTGTTTTTGTTTATACCAGAAAATATCGTAGCATATTATTTATGACTAGATAATCAATTTTGAAAAAAATATCTAACAAACTTTTTATCCCTAAAGCAATAGAAAAATTTTATAGATATAATGAATCCATCGCATTTTGGGCTCTTGTTAACTTTTTCGAAAAGTTTAGTTGTTTACTATTGGAAGGAACCAGGGAGGGAAGAGGGAACAGAGGATTCAAGAGCAGATTTTGGGATCTGTCTAAGCGTGGAGGGGGGGTCGCAGTGGCAGTCACAGCATTCATGTTTAGTATGTTTGTCGCCCGGAGGATTTATCATCTGGGATGGATGGCAGACTTGGGGGTCTATGAAGGGCAGATCGCCCTCCTCTAAGTACGCCATTGACAGTATTGTTTGTAGTAAGAAATATATTGAAAAAAATTCATAGCTAAATTATAAACAGTAGCTAATATTATAATATTATAAGGTAGAAAAAAGTTTTATTGGTTATAGAAAAATATTTGATGATTCTTATCTTTGTCGTCAATGTCTTCACTATCTTCGTCACTACTATCGATGTCGATATCGCCTTCTCCGTCAGTTTCTGTAACAATTTGACTAAGCTGGTACAATTATGAATAATATTTTATATGAATAATAATTAAACGTGATAATTAGATACCTGTTAAGGTTTTTATAGAATTAGTAAAATAATTTTGTAGCTGGGCCCCTTCAAACTAATAAAACTGGTATTTGTCATATTTCATATGTCGTAGTTGACAGACCATTGACCATTTTTTGACAAACCGGATCAACTGTATCAATAGTATAAACAACACTCAACACAGTCATAGATCGCAGTAGACCAAGCTCACTATCTCAGTCGCAATCACTTGAATATATACCGCCTCGCGGTCGCAGCTACGGCAGACTTGTAATGTGTCAAGCATAACCATTAAAGCTGCCTGCTAGTGGGATAACATCTTTTGATAGTCCCCCAAGTAACATATGAATTTCAGCTTTTATACGATGACGAAAGTTAAACTACAAAATTTATTAAAGTTTCATGGGTATCTGGCAGGGTTTGAAAGTGTACTAAGTGCCTGGCAATGGATGAGGTCATTTCTAATACCGTTCTGAAAGAAATATAAAAATTGGGCTCGTTACTTCAACGAATTTGAGGTACTATTTTAGACATCTTTGCTATCTTTTAGCTGCCAAAATAACCACCATCCAAATTTTGTAGTCGCTGATTACAGTCTCCGATCTGACAAATCATCTGCTTCTATAACAATTTTTCATGTTCGATCTCACCCCTTGTGACAGGGATTCCTGACATCAATTGCAACTTCAACGCACCAGAATATGAGACTTACAATCTCAAAATTGGGGAGTCGAAATATCATAAGGTAGATAAGAGAAAATGTCGAAATCTTTGAAAATTCTCCATCCCTGCGCACAGTCGTACCGAATTTCGGAGACAGGATGATCTAGCTTATCTAGCACTTGACTAAAGTTGCACTTTTGGTGTCCGACAATTTGTGAAATACTGTCTCCAAATCGAGAAATGTACTACAACGATAGAAAAGAAAATATTGAAAACGTCTGTTTCTTTGATAATATTTCATGTTCAGCTGGCCGATTCTGGGATACAAAATACCAAAACTTATATATAGAAGTGACTTTATTGGTAGTTTATGTACACTACAATGTGTAAGATTCAGTCCGAACTGAACAATGTAGATGACAATAGCAGAAATAATATTGATATCTGTTTTTATCATTCAGGTTCGGTCTAACCGATTTTGGGGTACAGATTTTTGTAGCTTATATAAATGCCTCGAGATGCAACTTCTGTGTACTGGAATTTGTGAGATGAAGTCTTCCAGTTGGGAAATGTAGATAAGATATAAGAGAAAATTTCACAATTTATTTGATACCTCTTGATAGCTGCAACGCAGTCTCACCGGATTTCGAACACAGGTCGGTCCTGCTAGGATCTATGACTTAAGTTGCACCTTCTGTGTACATACATGAATCTGAGAAACGCAGTCTCCGAAGTGAAAAATGTAGGTAACGATAAAAGAGAAAACATCGAAGGGTTGTATGTCTTTAGTAATCCATTATGACTTTAACAGAGAAATACTCAGTTTCACCGGCTTTTGGTACTCAGAATGTTGATGCATAAGCTGTAGTGTATGTGTACCATAGTCTGTGAAATACTCACCGAAATGAAGGATGAAAACATCTTTTTCTGGACAACGTTAGTTAGTATGCAGTCTTATTGGGGTTTAGTGCACTGAGTGGTGCCACTATATGAATAATTTTAGTTGCCACTTTTGTGAGCCACATTCGGTGAGGCACGGTCTTTGAATTATGAAATATAGATTATACTAGTTCCAAATATGTTTCTTTTGTGAGCCTTCATTGCTGTTATACCTAGTGCAGCCAACTTTTGCGTATCAGAATGTTGTAACTAGATATACTTAGTTGTACCTCCTGCATAGCAGAAGCTGTGAGAAACACTCTTCAAGCCAGAGGGAAACGTGTTAGAGCTTCTTGGTACCATACTCCGTGAGACCCTTCGAACCCAAGAAATTCAATGACGCTATGGAATAGAGGATTGCTTCTCTGGAGAATGATAGTCGCACCAGCTTATGATATGACTAATTGTTTGTATCTTGGATAATTGCTAGTATATGCACGATCTTAAATGCCGCTTCAAGGTACCACATTCTGTGAGGTACAATCTTCGAGTTGGGAAGTGTAGATAACGATAGAAGAGGAAATACCGAAAAGGTACGTTTGTTGTAATATTTTATCGTTCTTGTACAAACATGAATGTTTAGGGTCGCCAATTTTGGTAAAGCCGTTATATCTAGATGTATGACTTCAGTTGCAACTTATGTAGTACATCAACATTTTAGTGACACAGTCTCCGAACTGGGAATCATCAACATCGTTAGAAGATAAGTTTCACCGACCTTAGGATGGACACAGGATGCAATTAGATGTACAAGTCAGTCCACTGTGAACATTTGTGTGAGAAACGAACTGAAAATGGAAACAGCGTTAGAATCGAACGGACTGTTTGTCCTAAATTTGTTCGTCTGAAACATGTAATAATAATAAATACTCTTTTTTGTTTTTGGCCTCTTTCTCTGCTGCCACTTGGTCGATTTTCAAAAACTAGCCTTTGCGTCCTTGGCAGTGTAGCAACATTGTCTTAAGATCCCATTAAAAACCGAGCGGTACTTCTCAAGTTATAGGCGGTTATAAGATTAACCGACAGACCGACGGAAATGAACGAAATGGTTTTTCGTGCTTTACATGTCATGCGACTATAATATCCAAAATACGTAATATCTTATTTTAGGTTAGATTGGTTTTTGCAAAGCGAACGGCAGATCGGCAGGGCTCAATGTGGGGGGTCAAAAATAAAGATTTTTTTTCGAAAAGGAAGAATGATGAAGAACTAAAATGAAGATTGAATGAGATTGAGAAAAGGCTGTAAAGTTAGTGGAAGAAGGGTCCATTTTAAAAAGCACTGTGTAGTCGACCTTCCCGTAGTAAGTACATTTGCTGTCTAGAAGCTGCTTGGTAACTATATGTTTTAAGAATGATATTGTATTGAAAAGGTATTCAAATATGACTTATTATTCGTACTTCGATCCTATTCTGGAAATATGTAAACTTGCCCAGATAGATAGGAGCTCTTTACAGTGTTTCTTTGAAAATGGGTTCGTAAAGTATTATGTTCTGCACAAGCTGGCCCCTCCGAGATAAAAGTTAAATACGGACACGTTGAACAAAAACATTAAGGGGATCAAGCTATTCAAACAGACTCATACAATTAAGATTTGCATACTTTACTTTCTCTTTTTGTACAATTTGGAGCTCTTTAGGAGTTGGCTGCCTGAGAAAATATGCTCTTCCTCGTGCTTCAGAAAGTTTTGGAGGTAGTATTGCTTTCACACAAAAAATACCTCTTGTCGATGGATGGCCCTCCTCCTTCCGCTGAGAATTCCTAAGCCCGCATGTGCTGCTACAAACTTGCATCGCCATAGTTTTCACTAGGTTATGTTCGTTTCAAGAGGGGACAAAAGACACCTAGTTCCGACGTTGTCTCTTATTGTAATAAAAATTCTTATTCTGATCCCTTGGGATAAACATACATTTGAGTTTTGATGCACGCATAGTAAAACACCACCTGTCAACGGTCTAGCTTGGGCCTTACAACAAATAGTCATAAAATGTATTCTAATATGTTCAAATATGATTTATTACTGGTCCTTCTATCCTAATCTGGAAATATGTCAACTTGCGCAGATAGATCGAAGCTCCTTATACTGCTTCTTTGGATTGTATGTTTTAAGATTGATTTTGAGTTGAAAATGCATTCAAATATGACTTATTTTTTATTAGTACTTCGATTGCACTCTGGAAATATGTGAACTTGCCCAGATAGATTGGAGCTCTTTATAGTGTTTCTTTGGAAATGGTATGTTTTCAAGATTGATGTTTATTTAAAATATGAAAACTAATTTAGTTAGCGCATCTTAGGTATCTTACCTAGAAAAGAGTCGATTGGGCTCTGCAAAGGGAATGGGCGATTGGCATCAAGAGCAAACACATGAAAATAGGTATAAAATTGACAAATAGCCTTTTTATCGTACAAAAATACAAATACTGCCCGTTTCAGGTTAAGAAAGAGATGGAGAGACGGAAACAAGGAAATAAGGAATAAAACTGGAAAATTGATGAATTGTCCTGTATCATATGTAAGATATATTTTGATATTTTGAATAAGAATTTTTGTAGATATTCTTACTCAGTGAAGGTTTTCCAAATTATGAAATCGACATATTCTTTCTTTTTATGTTAGGTATATGACATGTACATAATCTCATTTCCGTCGGTTTGTCTGTTTGTCCGCTAATCATTGGCCCCTGTATAACTCAGGAAGCACCTGTCGGATTTTGATGAAGTTTCGTCACAACCTTACTGCTAAAATAATAAAAATCGTTCGTTTCAGTGTCTACTGCTCATTTTCAGAAAAACATCTTGAGCGGGTTATTGTAAGGGGTCAAGCGTATCCTTATGTTTTATTATGAACCATATTCGTCATCGTGTAGGGATACTTATGAGCAGCCTGTTGATGCACGAGTATCCAACACGATCTAAGTCTTTAAAGCTCCTTATACCGCCAAGGAGTAAAGGCTTCGCCAGTGTTACAGATCACTCTTTAAAAAATCATCTATTGTGCCATTTCCAAGATTTCAGGTAAGAGATAGCTGTTGAATACGATAAATAGAAATACAAATATTGAACGTCTATGGGAATCTAACGGAGAGTTCATATAAGCTCTAGATTCAGAAGATTGACTAACTAATTGAAGTTGAATCAACCAGTTTAGGAAATATGCCAGGTAAGCACATTTGAAAATAATGATCTGCTAAATTTTGTTTATTTGCGAACATAATACATATTTGAGATGATGTAGAAAGTAAAAAGTGGCTGGAAATTGGTTTTTCTTAGGTACCTTTTGAACGACACTGTATAATTAATCGAAATTTTGTCAGCTCCGTAAGCAACAGTAGTTTGATATCAAGTTTTTCCAGTTTTTCAGTATCTAAAATTTGTCAGAGCACAGTTATAATATACATCACTCAGTAAAATGCAATGCGTTATTTCACATTAAAAATATTATCCAAACACCTTTTCAAATCTAAATGAAATATTTCAGAAGCAAACACTTTTACCTAAACGAATTAGACAAGTTAAATAAATATAATTAAATTATTTTACTTGGAGCAAATACACTCGTTTTAATAGCTCATTAATTTTGAAAGATTGGTATAGTTAATCTAAGTCAACGGCTTAATAAATGTAAACGTTTGCGTTTTGTTTTATTAAAGCTAGTCTCGTAGACTTAAGTAAACTATTTTAGAAATTGGAGTTCAATAAAGCCAATTAATCTGGTTAGCTGTTTTGGCCTAATTAATATTTTGATCGGTTTAATTAAATTTGGCATATCGCCTATGTTCCGATATTGAACGACAGATATAAATTATAAGTTTAAAGATACAAATCAGACAGTTTGATTCATAGAGATGACCTAAATCTGATTATCTAATGAAGCTCAATGTACAAGGCACAAAACATGAAATTTGACCACCCGTCAAGCTTATCATGTAGTGATAGATCACGTTGTGCTGTTAAAAAATATCCTAGTAAATACATTTTGAGTGGAAATAGTCAGTATAACAACTGTTTCAGAAAAATAAAATGGAGCATATTGTAAAAATAGATGCAAGACATCTTAGGAAAATATCAATAAGGATGAAAGGTAAATGATTGTTCAGAACAGAAATATCATTTACGTAAGTAACTGACTGAGTGTGTTGTTTATGAAGCTGCTCTAAATGATGAAGAAAATAGAAAAATTGATCCTAAGAAGATATTTTGCCCCGACTCACGCTGATGAAATAGCTTAAAGCTATAGCCAACATTTCGTACTCTTTAATACAATATATACAAAATGTCATTAACCGTTTCAGGGAAAAAGAAACAACAATTGTACTAAAAATACTTAGGATCAGTTGTAAGATTGGCAATTTTATATTGCATCCAAATATCAATACGTAAAGATTAAAATGGCATCCTTTTTGCTAGGACAAGTGGATCAAGCCAACTGCTGTATCGACATAACAATCTTTTAGGTAAGCCAAATGTGATAATTTAAAAAGCATTCATTTTTACGTAAAAATAAACTATCGGTCTCTTATGGTGGGTTCATGCAAGACTTAACGTAACTTAACTTAAGAAAATGAGCATTTAATGCGCATGTGCGGCCAGGATTGCCGATGTAGCAATGGCGACAATTTCAACATTTGACACACTAATAAAATCATATGTTTAACGTCAATGTAGCAGATGAAAGAGTGTTTTATGGCTTTTGTGCTACGTGGACTTGCGGACCAGCCTCGACATTGACAAGTGGCCCCTCCCCACACGCTTGCGTCAATGCACTGGTAATCAGTCACAGAACTCGGATAATAGTCCAGATAATATCGGAACATCTGCTGGTAAAAATTTTCCGTTTCCGATTTTTGCATACTATGATTCAAGGACCCCTGTTAAAGAGCCTGCATGTGACTAAGCCCAAAATTGCACCAAAAATTGTTATAAACACATTACAAAAATTGATTTGTTCGCTTTATTTAAAGTATTTTGCGGTTATTAGGACATTCGGAACAAAAAATGAGCTTTAGAACTTTTCTATGGACTTGACATATATAAGCAATGTAAAAGTTCAAAATAATGCCATTTGCTACCCCAAAAACAATATGAAAAATGAATATTTTGATGTTGCCAAATCTTACACACGCTTCAATAACAAAATCCCAGAGCATTTTAGGGAATGCAGTTATTGTAAATATTTGCATAGTAATTATGAATTGAATGCGCGCTCAATGTATAGTCTATGTAAACGCGAGAGAGAGTTGAAATATATCTCGTGCACGCTGAATATACATTGAGCGTGCGCTTGCTTATCAACTAAGTACAAAGGTTTATAATAACGGTATTCCCTAAAAGGTATCGCAATTGTGTTAATGGTAATTTATGAAGTATGGCGACATTAACATTTACGTTTTTTCAGATCATTTTTCGGTGTCGCAAAAGCAATTTTTTTTATTTTCCCATCTCGTATAAAATCAACTATAGACAAACATCGTTTCGTTGCGGAGTATAAAAAAAACGAATAATACCTTTAATGAAGCGAAAACATCAATTTTTTGGAATCTATTTGAAAAAGTTGGGCAAACAATTAGAGACGCAATTTTGGGCCTGAGAACATGTAGATTTGTTACAAGGAGGCTTTTTCGAATAACATGCAAAAAATCCGAATCCGAATATTTTCCCGAGCAGATGTGAAGATATTTCTTGGACTATAACCTCGACGGCTGCGCCACCTTTCTTGGCTAGAAATCTGGTGGAACTATAAATATTGAAAGTATGCAGACAACGCATATCAGCAATGTCAGGAATGTGTCGGCGATTTCATTTGTTTACATTACGAAATCTGACTGATGATCTTCCCGATATTAAGGCAGTTCGATGATCATAGATAACATAACACATCCTCAATAAAGGAAGTATTTCTTTCATCAGTTTGGCTAGTAATGAATTGCAGGATAATAAAAAAATGTATAATTAAAAAATATCTATTGATCAGTCCCAGCCATAATAGAATAAATTCTTCATTACAGTACATTGTACATACATAGAAGTATTCTACCCATCTGGATTTTTCTCTTTATTATGAACCTGCTCAGTGCAATATCATGCAAGCACTATCTCTTGTTAATTGATCATGTATATTTATTGCGGAAACATAAATACTAAAATAACAAAAAACACATCTGTAGTTAGAGGACTGACTGGGGTACAAATATAATCAAAAAATTTTTGCACACAATGGGTGAAAGCAAACAAAATTGTCCTCAACAAAAAAAACACGTAAAAATAAATTTTTTCTTCAAACTAGGAAACAAACTCCTGATGTCATTGACAATTAATTTGGCATCCATAAAATAAATGATCTTCATTCCAACTGTCTCCTTCAAGGATGTTAACACTGTGAAACAAAAAAATTGTTAGGCTTAATATCACTGTCATATTTGGTCAGCTAACAGTAAACAGAAGCATCTCACCACGCCACTTCAGATGATACTGCTCTGTACATATGTATAAATTCCCAATCTGGCAGTATACATTTGATTGCCAAAATTCTCAGTCAGAGAAAGAATGTATGTGTAAACAATTTTTCATTAGTGTTACGAAACACCAGTCCTTAATTTGGTCCTGGGCTTTACCAGATTTGTTATTACCAACAGTACAAATGTCACAAAAAGAAGTTACATGCTACTCATCTGTTTACCTCAATAAACATCAAAAGAGATTACATATTTGGTGGGCTACGAATAAACAGCATTGGCCAGGTGTAGACCTGGTTCGTAGTTAATGACAAAGTACCTTCCCAACGTCACCACTGGTACAGTCTCAGTCATGAAAATGTTTGTATCTATCAGCTATGACGTCAGTACGAGTACTACAAGCACAAAATTTTAAGATTATAACTTAATCCATTCCATCTTTTTTTTTCGTTTTCTAGAATATAATTTCAAGATCCTCTATCTTGGTAAGGGGCAATTCAGCACCCATGTTTATATTTTTCATGCTAGTTTTTTTATCTACTTTATGCTGTAGCAATACTGGTATGTTTTGCTGGAACTACCACTATACGCACTTTGTTAGGGGATGAAGTAAACATGACCACTGACTTTATTTATTATAATTTTTACCATTTTTTTTCTTACAAGTACAACTATCACCGAACCATCTGCCCATACAGCGATATAAAATCGATCGAACATCACGATTTAAATATCGACTATCGACGTTTGTACAGTATCGATAACTCGTACCCATCTTCTAATGACCAACGCTACTGATCCGATTGGTTGGTTCTTAAGATCAAATTGAATATATTGAACTTTATTTTAAGAAGTGACCTTGAATTAAGAAAATGACTATAACGTCAATATATTCAATCATTTATGCAAAAATGTACTGATTTGGATACTTACTGTAACGTCATCATTAGGCGCTTCTCCGGCGATGTCCGATTGCATTCAGGTGCCTTCTGCAGGTACCTCTTCACTGAGGTCAGGTGTTCATGCCACCGTGGCTTTTCGTTTGTTTGCTCTAGGCATGG